AGACCGCAACATATTAGCAGGTAGTATCAATGTCGTTGTTTGAACTTGACCCACCCAAAACGGATCGATATGTATGTATCTAGATGTTATTTTAAGTATTATTATCGGCAACATCGATTGGCTTTAAAATGATAGGAAATACAGTGATTTTAAATGATCGATGTTAAAACGTAGGTTTAATGTAAAAAATAAAATATATAAAAAAATCAGACTATTGAAAATCCGACAACGGTGCTAAGCCAACAGAGGTGCACTAAACGAACATACACGACTTATATATAGAAAATATTGGATTTTCTTGGTGATGCTAAATTACTGCAACCTGAAACGAGTTTAAAATGATGGCGGGATGTATATATATATATATATATATATATTATATTATATATATATATATATTATAATGAAAACAGAAATACAATAAATTAACTTAGAAATATATACAACTAGATATACAATAAATTTATTTAAATAGTGGTTAGAGACATAATTTGTAAGTTATATACTAGATAATATTATAAAAAAATAATTATATGAGGGTATTTTTAAGAATTTAGCATAAGAATTAAGTTTAAGAAATTTTTTTAATTTTATTTTATTTAATATTTAATATGTTTACTCAGCCATGTGCTATGCAACCAAACATACACTGTAGTGTCAAAGTCAAATAGTTATTTATTTTTGGAATGTTAATTTAGAATATAATTGTGGATGTAAAATTGTAAAAATATAGTTCATATAAATGTTTAGGTTACATATAATAGTGTAGTTCTGATCTGGAGAGCCTAAAGTCAAGTAAATTATAGATAGAAAACTCTAGAAATGTCAATGGGACTGTATACATAATACATAACAGACAAAAGATCATTCCAGAATTTTCAAATAGAAAAAATAGAAGGTTTCGAACATCATTTTATTGCTGGAATATTCTGGAAACAATGAAAACATATAAAAAGCCATGTAATTAGGAGGGAGGGTCAGTTAGAAGCAGTTATGAGTTAGAGTTCAGTCAGTCAGTCAGTCAGTTAGTTAGCAGTTTAGTTTAGTCAGTTATGAGTTAGAGTTCAGTTCAGTTAAGTTCAGTTACCAGTTCAGTTATCAGTATGATCATTTATCAGTTAGTAAAGTTATAATTCAAGAATTTAGTTACAAGAAGATTATTAATTGAGTTAAGATTATTAAGTCAGTTATTTATGAGGTTATGAAGAGATTCTTAGCTAGCAGAAGGCATTGATTAAGTTACATGAATTGTTAAGTTAAATACAGTTGGAGATTAATTATTACTACAGTAATATAGTGACAGTTTAAAGTTAATTCATTGAAATAAGCATTCAATAATACAACCACAAGATCCAGTATATTTCAAAGTACATTAAGTGTATGGAAATTACAAGGAGTTAAATATATATTTATATGGTGAGTGGAGATAATTAATAAGGAACATATTAAATAGTTGGATAACCAAGGCTTAGTAAGAAGATATCGAGTGGTGATAATAACTTTAATTTTGGAAAAACTTTAGGCGTTCAGTGAAAGAAGGTACCAAATTTTGTTAATAATTTAATAATTGTAAGAATTTCAAATTTTAGATAGATTGTTTTAAATTGATATTGCTTATATTTGATAGATAGGTTTGTTTCATAATATTTATAATAAAGATAATTTAAAAAAGTACTTACAAACTAATTCTTTGAGAACCGCGATAAAAACCCTATAATTACATATATCATTCAAATTTACTCATTGCTCATACAACAACAACACATACAATATATATATATATATATATATATATATTATATATATATATATATATATATACATATATATATATATATATATATATATATATATATATATATATATATATATATATATGTATATATATATATATATATATATATATATATATATATATATATATATATATATATATATATATATATATATATATATAGGCTCCACCATAGGCCGATCAAACACCAGCATATTCTAGTCTAAGCCGCAGATTCATTTAGAATTTTAAACTGCTGCGTTAGCCTTTTTGTTTTCTATACACCGAGCTGGGGATTGAACTCACATCCGCTGAACCACTCGCAGTGAAGCGAATGAGAATCCGGCATCCGGAATCTGACCGACATTTGTTATAATACCACCTTTATAATGTTTTCTTTGTTATAATACCATCTTTAATAAGTGATACTCTATAAAGTTTGGTAAAAGTTAATTTAGTATTAGTTACCTTAAAACCGTAATCATAAAGTCATTATTAATGACTCCTTAACGACTCGTTAAGGACATACAAAGAACTGATATGAATTATTTCCGAGAATTTCTAGTCACTGGATTTCAAACGAGTTTGTAATTAGGTCTTATTATGTTGTTGAGGTTTAACAAGAAAGGTGCTACAACGCGTATTAGAACTATTTTGTAGAATGGAGATGGTTAAAATGTAGTACTAGTAAGCAGATCAGATTGACACCAGAATCCAAAGGAATAGTTTACAATGTATTTAAATACATGCAAACACTATTTCCTGAAGATAATCGAACCAGTATTAAACAACGTGTGAGTGAAGCTACTGGAGTATCTTTACGTACAGTAGAAAGGATCATTCAACAAGTGAGTATGTTAAGAAACGCAGAATCAAATAATACACTAAAATTTCCAGCTACAACACTTGCTAAAAGGAAAGCAACTTTAACAGACTTGAGGGAGTATGACAAACAGTTCATTAGAAATACCATTCATCGTTTTCATGAGACTAAACGTTGTCGTGTATCATTGAAGCTTTTGCAGAAAAGGCTTGAAGAGGTGTACGAGTGGACTGGAGGTGTGAGTTCTCTCTAAAGAATTGTGAAAGATTTGGGATTTAAATAGAAGAAAACGAAAGATAATCGACGTTTATTAATTGAACGGAATGATATTCGTGCTCTACGCATTAAATATTTGGACAAAATTAAATATTACAGAAGCGAAGGTAAGTCAATTGTATATGTTGATGAAACCTAGGTACAGTTGCGGTCACGGAATAGTTTACACCTTACTTTTTATATTGTAATACTGTAAAATTGCAGTGTCGTACGGATTTGATAAATGTCAAAGTCAAAAAATTTCAAAACGTCAATGCTTTCGCGAGTGTTCAACAATAAAATAAAAGTATATTAAACTCTTCCAAAATGGTTAGAATACATTTGAATTATGCGCAAAAAGCAAGAGCAATTGCCAAACTCGAAGAAGGTTGGTCACTAAGGCAAGTTGCTGCTGATTTGAACGTGAGTCATATGTGCATATGGAAGATTAAACAAAGATGGGATAATTTTCACTCTATAGCACGGTTGGGCGGTTCAGGAGGGCAGAAGATTTCCACAGATCAACAGGATGAGATGTTAGTAGATTATTTGAGAGAATCTCCTTTTGCCACAGCTCAAAAGGCAAGAGAAGAGGCAGCGTTTCCAGGCAGTATTCGCACTGCACGTCGAAGAATTAAAGCAAGTGGACTGCTAAATTGTGTACCTGCACGGAAACCTTTTTTGACTGAGGATCACAAGAGGAGACGAGTTGAATTTTGTAATGAATTTATAAACCGCGATGAGAATTTTTGGTCTAGGGTTGTATTTTCCGATGAAAAAGTATTTCAGTCGTATAATAATGGTCGAATAAGAGTTTATAGGCCGAGAAATCATAGGTATGATGAACAGTATACGCATCATTTAAGAAATAGTGGAGGATTCTCTGTCAACGTATGGGGATGGATAAGTGCCGAAGGCCCGGGCGTTTGTTATCATGTAGAGGAGAAGTTAACAGGATTATATTACAAACATATTATTGAGCACACAATGTTGCCATCGGTGATCCAGAGATTCCCCAACAACGACTTTATCTTCCAACATGACAATTGCCCGGTGCATACGAGTAGAATTGTTCGAGAATGGCTAGAAGAAACTGATGTTAATGTTCTTCCGTGGCCTTCCCGTAGTGCAGACTTTAACCCCGTCGAAAATGTGTGGGCAGAGTTAACAAAGAAACTAAATGAAAGAAACCTTAGACCACGGAATAGAATTGAATTATGGGAAGCAATTGAGCAGGCATGGGAAGAGCTTGTTAACTATAACATGAGGGGATTGGTGCTATCTATGAACAGAAGACTGCAAAATTGTATTGACAAGAATGGGGCTTCCACCAAATATTAATTATTATTTATCATTGTTTATCGTTATTTAATATAAAATAGATTTAAAATGAAATGCATATTAAAAAAAAAGACTTCTTTATTTTCGTTATTAAGATCATAATCCATTTTATTCAAAAAAACTGTTTTCTATATTTTTCATTTCGTAAAATATTTTGATATTTTAATTTTAATCTATCTATTCTAGCTAGTACACCACTGGCAACGTCACTTTGACGTAAAAGGTGCGTTTTAAACGAAGTAAAAATTTAAAAAATGGGCTCCTAGATACGTGAACCTGTAAAACTATTTCGTGACCGCAACTGTACATGCAGGATACACTACGCCAAATAGCTGGACAGATGACAGTGGCAAAGGTTTGTTCAAAAACATTCCAACAGGAAGTAGGTTGGTTATCGTACATGGTGGTGGGGAGATGGGTTTCATACAGAATGCCCTTTTCAGTCAGGAGCTAAGACAGGAGATTATCATGATGATATGAATTCAGAAAATTATGAAAAATGGATGAAAGAACAGTGAATCTCCAATTTGCCTGTTGGATATGTTGTTGTTACTGTTCTTTAATTGCCACACTCACATTAACATATGCTTCATTAGCCATGTCTAATAGTTCTAATGATGTTACAACCTTATTCGCCGCAGCTCCACTTGAATGCTCTCATAAACATGAAATGAGGTGATTTTCTGCGACCAATTGTATACCAGTATAACAAAAATGATGATTACAACCTTATTCGGCTAATAACACTGATTCACAATATTGAGGGTTACAACCTTATTCAGGACGGACACACATTTATTCACTTACCTGGAACTTCGGTTTGTTGAGTTTCTAATACAAATTGTGCAAGTCCACTGTTGTCAGCAATAATATCAGGAGGACTATTTATACTAGGAATACCTTCCTTCAAATTAACTAAATTATAGAAATAGAGAACTCCAGTATGGCTCAATAGAAGCAAATAAGGACATGGCGGTTTGATTCCTTCACCCCAAGGCAATGGTTTAGTGTTGCTTATATCTAAAGCCATTCCTACAGGAAGTGTCTCTTGTTTATCAGAGCCCAATGGTAATTCTGCACGAGCAAAATCTGGTACATTCCACTGAGTCCAGAATTCAGAAACTGCACCTAGTAAACCAAGCTCCATACTATTCGAGGAAGCTATCATTAAAAGATTCCTAAAATATTTATAAAAAGAAACATATATTTAGTACAATAAAACACCAAGTTTTTAAAAATTATGGGTGTATATAGGGTGAGTCATAACTATTGAAACATATACTAAGGACAGGTTATTTGGACCAAAATATGGCTACTGGGCCAAATATGCCTTAATAAAATGATGCTGAGAAAAAGGATACAGGGTGTTAAAGTTAATTTTTGTTTTTCGTTTTTTTCTAATAGTTTCCCTGTATATTTATAAATTGCTATCAAAATTTGCACAGAGGCATAATCTTAGAAAAGAAATAGTATTTTATTTACAATTCCACGATCAAATACCAAACTAATAAACAAAGTTGCAACTAACGTAAGGTTTCTGTTTTGACGATAAATTAAAACTAAACACACTTTAACTTAAAAGAACTCACAAAAACTCAAAACTAAATGTTCTACATGGTCTCCTCCGATGTGTATGCCTTTTCTAATTCTTCTTATAAAGGATTTTCGGACGTTAAAAAAAATATTATTCTGTCCCCTTATAAGATTAGCTGCATTCTGAATGTATCTCCAAAGTTCGTCTCGTGTATTAATTTCATTGACATAAACTAAGGACTTCATATGTCCCCAAAAATAATAATCTAGCGGGTTGTACTCAGGACTTCTTGGTGGCCATTGAAAATCACTGCCTCTGCCAATCCATCGTTGAGGAAATACGTCATTAAGATGATTTCTAACAGCTAATAAAAAATGAGGTGGCGCTCCAACCTGCATAAACCACATTTTTTCTTCTTACAATCCAGTGACAGATCATTTAAAAATATAACTAAGAGTATTTTCCAAAAAGAATATAAATAAGAATCTCCATTTAAATTTGGATGAAGAACATAAGGCCCTAGTAGTTGGTCGCCTATAATGCCACACCAAATATTCAATTTCAACTCATGCTGAAAATGTCTAGCTTTAATAGCATGCGGGTTTTCTTCTTCCCAATAATGACTATTTCGCCAATTAAAAACCCCTCGTCTGGTAAAAGTTGCTTCGTCGGTGAACATAATATTCTTAATAAAGTGTCTGTCATTGCCATGTTTATTCAGAATACGTTGGCAAAACTGTAACCGTCGTGGAACATCTATTGGAAGTAAATTTTGAACAGGAGTGAAGTGATAAGGATGGAGGTTCTCTTTTTTAGAAATCTAACAATAGACGACTGACTTACTGCTGTTGCTACTGATAAATGTTGTGAACTTATTTCAGGATTTTCATCTACTCGAACCAAAAGTTCATCTTCTTGATTAGGTGTGATTTGTTTCGGTTGACCACCCCGATTTTTAGTGTGAAATGACCCAGGTTTCACCTAAACTACGATATAATCTTGCAAAAGTTTTGTGATTTGGTTGCCTTCTGTTTGCGTATAACATTCCATACCTTCTGGCTGCCGAGCGACCGCAAAAATTTTCTTGTGCATATACGCAAATCATATCTCGCATTTCTTTATAAGTAAAATGATTGTGACGAGGCATTTCAATCAAAAAAAGTAATGATTACTTTTAAAAATGCAACATTACATTACACTGTCACATCAAAAATAATTTACTCTGAACAAATGACATTTACCAACAACAATTATCTGACAGTCCAAAGCATACTTTTCATAAATGAAATACTATTTGAAATCCTTTTTTAAGACTCTAAGCAGTTCGACTGCGTTTTTATCGAAAAACGGTTGTTGAAATTATCATGTTTATACAAGAATACCAATTTTACGTAAAAAATTATGTTTACGTCATATTTTCTAATAAAAATTACTAAAAAGTTTCATCAGAAAAAGTTTAGACTGAATTTGATTATTGGGAATGATCTACGTGGCGCCCTCTATGACAAAACGTAAAATTGTAAATAAAATACTATTTCTTGTCTAAGATTATGCCTCTGTGCCAATTTTGATAGCAATTTATAAATATACAGGGAAAACTATTAGCAAAAAACGAAAAACAAAAATTAACTTTAACACCCTGTATCTTTTTCTCAGCAACATTTTATTAAGGCATATTTGGCCCAATAGCCATATTTTGGTCCAAATAACCTGTCCTTAGTCTATGTCCCAATAGTTATGTCTCACCCTGTATACCTTTACTTACCAATGCTGTGAGTATAAATATTAGGTAAAATTGAGAAATTCTGGTGGATCCACTATAACAAACGTCATCATAGTTTGTGTAACTGGTTTCTCCAGTCTTTGGAGCGTCTACCACAATTAGCTTAGCCTCATCCGGAAATTGATAAACTCCGATAAATTGGAAATTCGAAACCAACATAAAGATATTAGAGAAGGAGCAATTTCGAAAGGGGGTGCCTCAATTTTGCGAACAGCTTTTAGGTCTGGCTTGTATTGAACAATGGTGCCAGTTTTAGAACCTACAGCAATTTGCTTTCCTTTGGGACTCCAACTGAAACTCAAGCTGCCTGCAGCCGCTGGTAGTTCATTAATTTCTACAGAACTGCCTGTAAATGGAAATGTATTTTTAATTACAATAATGTATTTATTTTTAACAAAATAAAATTATAAGGTTACATTATCAAAGCCTATATGAAATCATATGTAAATCATCCTTGCTCTGATTGTAGCTGAGTACATGAATGATATATTTTCTCCTAAGTCACTGGACTTCTAGGAGTCAGAAACAATTGAGATCTTAACATTTATTCATTGGCATATGCACAAATTATTAGTTACTGCTAAGTGTTAATTAATAATGAACTTGAAAACAAAACTATAATTAAAGGTCTGAAAACTACCCAGGTGATCAAATTGTGAGTTTCATATTTACTTTAAATACAGAGATCCACACAGGAAACAAATAAAAGTTAACTTTGTTATATGTTACCCCTTTAGCAATGCTCTATATTTAACTTACCTTTAAGTTTGTAAACACCAAGATTTTATCATTTTTACAGGCTGTAAATATCCCTGGTATTGCTGGATTCCAACCCACTTCAGTAATGAAGGTTCCTGGTGTTGCAGACAGTCTTACCTCCTTTACAACTACTACATTTTGTTTATAGAATGATAAAACATCATAAAAAATAACAACAGGACAATTGTCTCTTTGTATAACCACTGCTAATAGTGTGCTGTCACAATTAACAGATACATGTTTAGCAGGAGAAGGTAAGGGGATAGTTCTTCTTGGAAATTTTGAAATTTCTTTATCTTTGTGGGTGAAATTTTCTACAGTCTTAACTTGAATAACTGAAAAATATTTGTATGAAAATATATCTTAATAAACAAAGTTATTAAAAATCATACAAACTTTGACCTGAATCAAGTTGTTTATAATAAATCAAAAATCCTAATTCTATAATATAATTTTTACAAGTGGGGTATTTAAAGTGAGGCGAACAATGAAAAAGTGAGTTTCTTAAATTGGTTCATATTTGGGTTTATTTTATTTGTAAACTTGGTATACTGGTGCTTAATATAAACATATTGTAGTATAGTGTAGTAAAAAGATAGTTGTTTTTGTTGCTTTGATGACTAGCTAGATTTACAAAATTTCGGTTAATAGGATTTGATTTAAATGATGAATATTTGAGTATTATATTGGAAAATGCTGAATTGAATACCATTTTTATATTTAACAGTTCATCTTTACTTTACTTAATGCCAACAAAATGTAGTCTAAACTATTTGAAAAAAAAAAAATTTTAATGTAACAATAGGTAGTTTATTATCGCCTGGTAAATTATATGCTATATGTATATTACAATTGAGGACCTTGCTGCAAGAAAGGGGCAGCTCCATATATAGTAACTTTTGGGAAAATAGAAAAAATGTTTTATAAAAAATTTGCTCATGTATTAATTACAATAAAGCAGTTTAGTTAAAAGATAATCATATTGGTACATTTGCCAACTTTTTCCTTTATTTATATAAGCTTTTTGCAGAAAAAATGCAAAAAAAAGTTTGGAGATGCCCTCTCTTGTACCAAAATTACAAAAAAATAGTATCCACTGTAGTTATTATTGAAAATAAAAAAAAGTGACTGCATAATCGGTTTATTATTATTAAAAATTAACAAAAAAAAAACGTTTTTTCTTTTATATTCAAACAGAAAATCAGTCTATTTGTCTGCTTAGTCATAGTCATCTGTGCCTGAAATCTGGGAATCATGGTTATCATTACCAACGTCATCACATTTAAGGGATTGGTAAAAACTCCATTTTGTTGGCTGGAACGTAGTTGGTAGCTAATTGCATTACGTCTTTGTTCTTGGTCTTTTTTACTAGTATTGATGACTCGTACACCATCAAGTTAGTTTCAACTGAAAGATTATCTTTATTGTCCCTCAAAATGTAGTACGATTCAAAAATAGGAATAACAGTTGTAACAGACACATTAATTGTATCCATGTGGTCCTTATTGTATTAAAAAATCCGGTGTTGAGAAATCTTAAACCTTTGTTTCTGAGAATTCATTATATATTTTTTAAAATGATTCTCAAAATTAATGCTAAAGTTGAAGATTATATCTTGACGAACCATAATGGATATGAAATATTTGGATGTCTTGAATAAACTGACAGTATTGTCTAGGAGAGAAAATATTCTCTTTTTTTTCGTATAAAAACTTTTCTATAACACCAAAATAACAGTCACACGGTAGGAAACTGTGCCCTGGTTCAGGAAAACAATGTTGAATATTCTCCAAAGATGTGGTTCTTACAAGAAGATGCAGAAACTGTAGTATAGTTGAATTTTTATTTTGAGCTGCAGCTCAAAAGAGGTAAAGATCAGAAAAGAGGTACAGTTGTCTGACATTTTTTGAAAAGATATTTTTTATGTAGTAATAAAGAAAAGAGAAACAAATTCATTCAGTGATTTTCTAGCGGTTGTTTCATCATAAATGTAAAAATAAGCTTGCCGGTTTTGCCGCGTATGCAAAATGTATGCAAAAATTGTAGACACATAGTTGACTTAAACGTTTAAAATTTCTATGTTGTTATTTTGTTGGCTCAGATTTGTCTTTTCTTTCAAGGATGTAAAAAAAACGACTTGCTTTAACCTCACATACTTTCTTTTCAAGTCGTAAATTTTCCTTTTCAGTATCACCAAGAGCTGAATCTTGAAGGCTATGGTGTACTATGTCACATCTTTTGCAGGTGTCTGAATGAGGCGCCCCAAAAACTATAATTTAAAATTTGCTTTAAATACCTAAAATAAACTTACTTTAGGTTTATAGTTTTTTATTAACAGCACTTTCCGGTTCATTCACTTGCAGATAAAGTTCATGCATCTTTTTAAGATTGAAATCAGGAGACAAATAAAAGAGGACATTTTTATAGTTTATTCGTCTTCCGGGTTTGGACCGTGTCATTTGTGAGTGACCCAAAAGTGGGTTCATCTCGACGTTTCGCTACAATTATATGTAGCTTCTTCAGGAGAACAAAGAAAAGGAAAAAAGAAAACAAAAGAACAGGAAGATGGGTAGTTAGCAACGGTAACTCAGTTACTCAACGCAACCAGAGGCGAATACTAACTACCAAGATGGGCATTTGGTCACAGTAACTCAACTACTCAACGCAGCCAGAGGTGAAAACCAAATGCCAGGACAGGGATTCACGTCCAACAGCTCAGAACACTAACGCGTCGAGAGGCGGGGAGTGAATCCGACGATTACTCCGCTACCGCTCTATTTATAGTCGCGGTGCCTGTCGTGTCGGGACGTATCGGCACACTTCGTGGCGCGAACGTCAAGAAGCGCGCGCTGGCCAATCATGTGGCTGCATAGTGGTGGCGGGACCGGACGGTGGCTCTAGACTGAGATTCCAGATGGGAGACAAGTAGTATCCTTCCTCTCGATTGATATTATGGGGATTTTTTCGGATCTCTAGAGATTCGCGGATTTTCCTGGAATAAAAGAAGGGGCTCTTAGAAATAATATGGGTTTTTTCGAACAATATGGAATGACCGGTTTCTTGGCAGTGTTCGGCAACTGCAGAATGGGAGAAAAGACCTGATCGAATGCATCTTTGATGCTCTTGAATCCGAGTTTTGACGGAACGACCAGTTTCGCCAATATACACATGTCCACATGAACAAGGAATAGAATAGACACCACAGGAAGATAGGGGCGGTAATGAGTCCTTAGGAGAGGGTAGATATTGAGAGATTTTCTTGGGTGGTCGAAAAGTAGTCCTGATACCTTCTTTGCGAAGAATTTTGCCAATCCTATCAGTGACATTTCGAATATACGGAAGAAAAGCCACAGGAGTATTACCCGAAGATTCTGAATTTGTTGTCCTAGGGTGTAAAGGGGGATTTAGATGTCGGTGTGTAATATTTTGAATTGTGGACTTGGAGTAACCATTGGCGACAAGGGTTTTTTGCAGATGGCCAAGTTCTTCTCTAAGGTTGTCGGGTTCAGAAATCGAAATGGCCCGATGGATGAGAGAGTTGATCACAGAATTCTTTTGGGCAGGATGGTGGTGTGATGAAGCATGTAGGTAACGATTCGTGTGAGTCTTTTTTCTATAAACAGAGTGACCCAATCGGCCATTGGGCTTGGAGGTGACTAACACATCGAGAAAGGGAAGGGACCGATTATTTTCTACTTCCATTGTGAATTTTATACTCGGATGTTGTGAGTTAAGATGATCTAGGAAGGAAGAAAGGGTATGTTGACCATGGGGCCAGATGATAAATGTATCATCAACGTAGCGGAACCAGACTTTTGGTTTTAAGGGGTAAGATTCTAGGGCTAAAGACTCAAAGGCTTCCATGAAAATGTCAGCAATGACAGGGGAAAGGGGAGAACCCATTGGTGTTCCAGATATTTGTTTGTAGAAATTGCCTCTAAAAGAAAAATATGTTGAAAGGAGGCATTTTTCGGCAAGATCTGCCAAAACCAAAGACTTGTTATCATTGGTCAAGTGATCTCGCAGAACAACTAGAGAGTCATGTATGGGGATATTGGTAAATAGGGATGATACATCGAAACTGACGAGAATATCTTGGGGATCGACTGTGAGAGAGGAGATTAAGGTGATGAAATGTGTGGAATTTCGGACATAAGAAGAGGTACGACCAGTATAGGTCTTAAACTGATTGGACAAGTACTTAGCGAGTTTGTAGGTAGGAGAGTTAATCGTAGTCACAATGGGACGAAGAGGTACGTTATCTTTATGGATTTTCGGAAGACCATAAATTCTGGGGCAGATGGAGTTTTTTGGAACTATGGACTTCTTAACATCATCGGAAAGATCGGATTGTTTGATGGCATGGGAAATTTCGCGTTCGACTCTAGGAGTGGGGTCTCGAGAAATTGTATTATAACAGGATGTATCCCTAAGTAAGTCGTTTACTTTCTCTATGTAGGAAGGAGTATCCAGGATGACTGTGGCATTACCTTTGTCTGCAGGAAGGATTATTATCTCAGAAAGAGAACGGAGATTTTTGAGAGCTATGAATTCCTCACGAGATATATTGGAAGTAGGGATTTTGGCTGTATCAAGACATTTAGCGACGTCAAAGCGGATACGGTCGGCTGGAATTTTGGGAATTGTGCGGAGTGCCGCTTCCACATTTGAAACTATTTCTTCGGTAGGAATTCTGGAAGGAGTGATAGCAAAATTAAGACCTTTAGATAGAAGACTGCTTTCTGCACTTGTTAATTGGTGAGAAGAAAGATTAACGACGGTGTTAATGAGAGGTGAATGAGAAGTAGAAGTGGTGGAATGTGATTTTTTCTTAGATACAAGGGATTGGAATTTCTTTTTGTGAGTTTCGTTGCTTAGAAGAAGGATTTTATCGGCTTGATGATAGGAAATGCGGTCTAAAAGTGACCAATCATCGACACTAAGAATACTGGAGAGTTCAAGATGCAGCTTAAAAAGTTTTTGGGATTGAAAATTAAGGGTTTTTCGGATATGTTGGATCCGTTCACGAAGTAGAGATAGGCTGGCTCGATGTAGAATTCGGGAAGAAGATGAAGAGGAAATGTGATGTTTTAGAACAAGAAAATTGGGAACCAAGTTATTATCACGACATCTAGAGAGGAAGGTGAGCGAAGAAAGTAGAGATGAAACTTTAGAGCGAAGATTGGAGAACTCTGAGGTTTTGCGGAATATAACCTCCCCGTAGAGGTTGGTCAAATGAAATCGTAGGCTTCCACGGCCAGAGTCAGAATTATAGTTTATTCGTCTTCCGGGTTTGGACCGTGTCATTTGTGAGTGACCCAAAAGTGGGTTCATCTCGACGTTTCGCTACAATTATATGTAGCTTCTTCAGGAGAACAAAGAAAAGGAAAAAAGAAAACAAAAGAACAGGAAGATGGGTAGTTAGCAACGGTAACTCAGTTACTCAACGCAACCAGAGGCGAATACTAACTACCAAGATGGGCATTGGTCACAGTAACTCAACTACTCAACGCAGCCAGAGGTGAAAACCAAATGCCAGGACAGGGATTCACGTCCAACAGCTCAGAACACTAACGCGTCGAGAGGCGGGGAGTGAATCCGACGATTACTCCGCTACCGCTCTATTTATAGTCGCGGTGCCTGTCGTGTCGGGACGTATCGGCACACTTCGTGGCGCGAACGTCAAGAAGCGCGCGCTGGCCAATCATGTGGCTGCATAGTGGTGGCGGGACTGGACGGTGGCTCTAGACTGAGATTCCAGATGGGAGACAAGTAGTATCCTTCCTCTCGATTGATATTATACATCCTGTTATAATACAATTTCTCGAGACCCCACTCCTAGAGTCGAACGCGAAATTTCCCATGCCATCAAACAATCCGATCTTTCCGATGATGTTAAGAAGTCCATAGTACCAAAAAAACTCTATCTGCCCCAGAATTTATGGTCTTCCGAAAATCCATAAATATAACGTACCTCTTCGTCCCATTGTGACTACGATTAACTCTCCTACCTACAAACTCGCTAAGTACTTGTCCAATCAGTTTAAGACCTATACTGGTCGTACCTCTTCTTATGTCCGAAATTCCACACATTTCATCACCTTAATCTCCTCTCTCACAGTCGATCCCCAAGATATTCTCGTCAGTTTCGATGTATCATCCCTATTTACCAATATCCCCATACATGACTCTCTAGTTGTTCTGCGAGATCACTTGACCAATGATAACAAGTCTTTGGTTTTGGCAGATCTTGCCGAAAAAATGCCTCCTTTCAACATATTTTTCTTTTAGAGGCAATTTCTACAAACAAATATCTGGAACACCAATGGGTTCTCCCCTTTCCCCTGTCATTGCTGACATTTTCATGGAAGCCTTTGAGTCTTTAGCCCTAGAATCTTACCCCTTAAAACCAAAAGTCTGGTTCCGCTACGTTGATGATACATTTATCATCTGGCCCCATGGTCAACATACCCTTTCTTCCTTCCTAGATCATCTTAACTCACAACATCCGAGTATAAAATTCACAATGGAAGTAGAAAATAATCGGTCCCTTCCCTTTCTCGATGTATTAGTCACCTCCAAGCCCAATGGCCGATTGGGTCCACTCTGTTTATAGAAAAAAGACTCACACGAATCGTTACCTACATGCTTCATCACACCACCATCCTGCCCAAAAGAATTCTGTGATCAACTCTCTCATCCATCGGGCCATTTCGATTTCTGAACCCGACAACCTTAGAGAAGAACTTGGCCATCTGCAAAAAACCCTTGTCGCCAATGGTTACTCCAAGTCCACAATTCAAAATATTACACACCGACATCTAAATCCCCCTTTACACCCTAGAACAACAAATTCAGAATCTTCGGGTAATACTCCTGTGGCTTTTCTTCCGTATATTCGAAATGTCACTGATAGGATTGGCAAAATTCTTCGCAAAGAAGGTATCAGGACTACTTTTCGACCACCCAAGAAAATCTCTCAATATCTACCCTCTCCTAAGGACTCATTACCGCCCCTATCTTCCTGTGGTGTCTATTCTATTCCTTGTTCATGTGGACATGTGTATATTGGCGAAACTGGTCGTTCCGTCAAAACTCGGATTCAAGAGCATCAAAGATGCATTCGATCAGGTCTTTTCTCCATTCTGCAGTTGCCGAACACTGCCAAGAAACCGGTCATTCCATATTGTTCGAAAAAACCCATATTATTTCTAAGAGCCCCTTCTTTTATTCCAGGAAAATCCGCGAATCTCTAGAGATCCGAAAAAATCCCCATAATATCAATCGAGAGGAAGGATACTACTTGTCTCCCATCTGGAATCTCAGTCTAGAGCCACCGTCCAGTCCCGCCACCACTATGCAGCCACATGATTGGCCAGCGCGCGCTTCTTGACGTTCGCGCCACGAAGTGTGCCGATACGTCCCGACACGACAGGCACCGCGACTATAAATAGAGCGGTAGCGGAGTAATCGTCGGATTCACTCCCCGCCTCTCGACGCGTTAGTGTTCTGAGCTGTTGGACGTGAATCCCTGTCCTGGCATTTGGTTTTCACCTCTGGCTGCGTTGAGTAGTTGAGTTACTGTGACCAAATGCCCATCTTGGTAGTTAGTATTCGCCTCTGGTTGCGTTGAGTAACTGAGTTACCGTTGCTAACTACCCATCTTCCTGTTCTTTTGTTTTCTTTTTTCCTTTTCTTTGTTCTCCTGAAGAAGCTACATATAATTGTAGCGAAACGTCGAGATGAACCCACTTTTGGGTCACTCACAAATGACACGGTCCAAACCCGGAAGACGATATAAACTATAATTCTGACTCTGGCCGTGGAAGCCTACGATTTCACGAGGACATTTTTACTCGGCTGTAGTGTGACTCAAGTCATGGAAAACTTTTTATGTGATTATCTACCTTCTGCAATAAATCTTTTGAAATGCGGTTTTTTCTATATGTTTTATGTTTACCTTGTTTGCTGTTCGGGATTGTAATGTTGTTACTGTCCAAAGTTTTAGCAATATTATTCACTCGTTTTTTGGATATCCTGTGTATTGTTCCGAATGCACTCTACAAACTCGTATTTTTTTCCATACCCAGCTTAATATAGTACTTGTGAGCACAACTACGCCTCTCTAGCTCACCAGTTTTAGCTCGAGTTCTGGCAACATTCCTTGTTGTTATTAAACCACAACACGTTAACCTTAACAAGTAGATAGTTTGAATCTGTTTGTCTCCTATTTCATTACAGTTTAGCTAAAACTGCTTGCCTCTGTTCTTCATTCACCTTTTCAAAACATTTAAACTTACATTCACAATTAGGTCCACTTTGCCTAGGTCTCACACTACTACCTTTCCAGTTAATATAACTTTTTCCTTCTGCAATACACTTTTTCTTAATGTTGCGTTTCACTTAACTGGATCAACACTTTTTCTATTCTTCACAAACGAAACATTCTGAACCTCATTTTGAACTGTATTGACTGAAGCTTGTGTTTTTCACACATCTTTTTTTCACTGAAGGCCCTGCTTCATCAGGATCAGAACATTTTTCCAATTCAGATGGATTATACAGATCAGACAAACTCTACTAAACAGACTAACATTATCAAAATTAGATTCTGTACCACTCATGACACAAATAAATAATAAAAAACACTTGCCAAGTACAGTAAGTGAAGTGACTCAATGTTTGGCAAAGAAGGATACATGTGCCAACTTATAAACTAAAATTTGACCAAATATGATTGCCCCGTTTGCAGCAAGGTCCACAATTGTATTAATTGTTACTATTGGAATTTTTATTTATACATTATAATATTCATCATTTGTTTGGTTTTAGAATACTTTTGTTTCATTAAAATTGATATAATGTAACCCACATCAGTTATTTTTAAATGACATTATTTAGAACTGCATCTAATTGAAAATATTCAGTTGAACTCTACATCACTAAAAATATACAGGTTTTTGTTTATACGACTTTAACATGCATATTAAATGAACTTTTGTTAGAATGACCAAACATACCCTTTAAACATGGTGAATTTGATCCAGCAAATAACAGACCATAACGACTGGCACAAGAAATTAAACTGTGATTGTTTTGAAATGTTTCAATACTACTATTATCGAAAATCTTCAGACTGCAGTGTAATTTGAATTGAATATCCTAGAATAGAAAACATAGGGTTTTTATAAGCCTTAACAGTATTTTTATAAAACTTACATTTACATCTACAGGATCAGGACAAGTTTTCAACATTTTTCTTATTTTTATTAGATGGAAATATTCTTTCCTATTATGTATATATCCTATACTTGGTTTTATATCTTAATTATTACTCTCTACTATACACAATTTTAAAAAAATTAATTTTTGCTTGTCTTTTCATAAAACTGACAAAAACATACACATAACCACAAATTATTTGAAATTTGAAATACAATCATGAAAATATGATCAAAATAGTACTGTATATGACGTCATATTCGACTGTCATTATAAAAAATTATAAATTACTATGATCAGTGTATATGAAATTTTCTGAAATTATTTTGCTTCTATTGCCTTTTTAGGTTGCTTAAATTGTCACAGCTGACATTAGATATTATGTTTTACTTAAAAAAATATTTTGTTTTATTTTGAATTTATGGCCTTTTTTACCTCCAGACCGGAACACTGGAGGTAAAACACGTGGCAACGTTGTTGCTTGTATTTACGAAAACGTCAATCTATTCTCAAAATCTCAAAAACAAATAGAAATATTTCAAAGGAAACCGACAACACAAACAAAAAGAAATATTATGTGATATTTATTGTGACTTGTAATGATAATAATGTAATGAAAATTAACCTCATTTGTTAAATTAAAATTATTTTATTTTTGACGTTTCCGCTTCCAAATAGAAATGTTCACATAAAATTTGCCATTTTTATATAGTTGTAAACAAAAATTTAAATTTTACACGTAAGATTTCAACGTAATGTTTTTATTAAAATTTTATTAAAACTATTCTAGAATATAATCACTTTGATAGAACATTCAAATTTCAAAAGTTTTCTAACTCATGCTGTTAGCCAGGTTGTCAAATTTCGGTGATTGAATAGCACCCGGATCCAATGATCCGTCAAATTCGAATCCCAAAAGTGTGCTCAAAATTTCCGCAACTAACAAACAATGAAACAATACAAAAATTAACAAACATGTCATTCCAAGATATTTTAGGTTAGGCTAATGTTTTTATATTACAACTTACAAGAAAACAATTTATATAGTTGAGGAAAATCTTCACATTTATTTAATAACAATGGTAAGCAATAACTGTTTGATATATTACTTTAAAGTAATTTAATACATTTACTTGCAGTCAGGAGGAAGCGTAAACATCTGCAGTGTAACTACAGAAGTTAAACAGGCATTAACAGAATTCAGGTTTAGAAAAGCAAATAATACAGCTGCATTAGTTCGTAAGTGTTAATATTTAGGTATTTAACAATGTTCTAACACTAATGTGTTACTAATTGATGACTCATAATTTTGATACTGATAATTGGGAAACACCCCATTGTTATATCATCCATAAGATATTTGTACATTCATTTATTGTTAATATATGTTTCAAATGAGAGGTTGTCAAATGTTCATATTATTCAACATGGTCATATATGAGTTATACACACATAGCAGACAATCTGCTCTCAATTGATAATTGTGTATAATTTTATTACACAGCATTTGTTATAGTGACTCTGCCTTCAATGTACAGGCAAATTAAAACATTTATTGTTGTACAACTAATATAGATAACATTTAATATTACCTCTAAATTATTTTTCACACAAATATTTTAAGGCAAGAAGTGCAGTCTGTTACATAAGATTTAAGCTAATATTTGTGAAAACGAAAAATAAATTAATTTTAATATAACTTGTTGTTTTTACAACATTTATATTGATATTTTTGATAAAGTACAATGTTAAATGTAATTTTGATTTTCAGTTAAAGTTGATAGAGAAAAACAGGAAATAATTATAGATGAAAAACTTGATGACCTTTCTATTGACCAACTTCAAGATATTTTACCTAGTCATCAACCCGATATGTAGTACTATCTTATAGACAAGAACATAGGGACGGAAGAATATCGTACCCATTATGCTTTATATTCTTTACTCCAAGAGATAGTCATGCAGAATTGCAGATGATGTATGCTGGTTCAAAGATTGCATTGCAAAAAGAAGCTGAACTTACTAGAAGCTTTGAAATAAGAGAATTGGAAGATTTAACTGAAGAATGGTTATTGGAGAAGTTGGGGAATTAAGGAATAAGTAAGTGTGATATTTAATGTTTTATTATGTTTCTTACATTATAGCATATAGTAAAATCAACTTCCTCTTTTATTCGTATTCTTTAATCAGGCGCATATTTCCTACCTCTGATACTTAGTTGTGGGACTGTTGTATCAACCTCATATCATTACATTAAGCTTCACCAAGAAGCATTATGTTCTTGATAAATGCAAGCAACTTTTTATAGGATTTTTAATAATTTAAGAATTTCTGCTTATGTACAGTTTCTTATGACTCACCTCACCCTGCATATAATGGAATATAATAACCAAGCAACAATTAATAAAATCAAAAATCTGGGTAACAACTTATGTGGTGGAGAAATCAGAGAACAAGACACCAACAACGAAAAAGGCTACGAATAAAAGAGTAAGGGAAACAAAGGAAGAAAAATGATAACCAGTCTATGAAAAGGGAAAAGTAAAGCATGTAAGGGAAAGAGAAACATTTGAAAAAAAGGAAGTGATAAAAATGGGAAGTTAGAATATAATAATCAGTTATGAAATTGTCTTACAAAGCCTTAAAGAAATTGCTGATGATTATAATATATAAAACTTAATAATGCGGGAAACAAAAAGGAGTAAATTGATAATACTGAAAGAATGAAGAACATGTATTTTGACACAGGTGTTTTGGTAAATAAAACAAATGAAGTTATTAAAGAAATATATATAGAAAACTGACAATAACACAGATAATAATTATTAAACAATTTAAGGTGGACTTTAAACATGCTCTGTATGTATATGACTTTCTCTTAATAGATATAACAATATTTTTAATGAAAAATTGTATTTTTCAGGAGAAGACAATATATATCCAGACATCAATAGTTCCTTTATAAATTATATGCTTTGTTTATGTACAATTCTTTATTTTTATAAATATTTCCTGCGCGGTAACTTCCTAACATTAATTATAAACTGGCGGTGATGTACGGTAATAAGGTTCATCAACATTTTTTATATTATTGTATTGATAAAGTATTAAAACAACATTAGAAATTGAATTTGTTGTACATAAAAAGCAGAAAAATTGTGAATTGATATCTGTAAACTTACAGATAAATTGATATATTAAATCATAGTAACTGTCATACACTTTGGGAGTTGACAAGGCATATTTTGATTGTAAAGTAATAAAAGTGGTGACATCACCGATAGTTTATAATAAACAAAATATTAAGTTAAAAATAGTAACGTATGTAACTGATTATGAACAAAATTAGCATAAGATTCTTTTATTATATATTTGAAAGTTATTATTAAAAATATTGTATTTAGTTTATGCAATCGGAAAGTAGTTAGTTGTATTTTACTACTAAATATACAGATCTTGATCAAAAAGCAATAAAATGATCTCAAAGATGTTCTCATATATACTGTTGGTATGTTGCAAAAATATTTGGAACATTTAAAAAATATAGACCATGGATTAATTATAAATAATGTATGCAGTCCAGTGTACCATAGTAAAATTATGGTATAACCTCCAATTTCCATCAACACACATCAATTTTGATATTAATCTTGATTTACCTTTAAAATCTACCCTAATTTAAGTATTTCTGATGTACTATATATATTTTTGTAACATATAAACACTGTACGCAATATTTTGTTGGTCTGTTTGGTACAATGTATGTTTTTCTGTTGACACAAAAGTAAAATTACAACTTTTAATTTATTTTTCCATTTTAAACTGACGTAGATAGTGTGAGAATTGGCCTTTTAAGTTTCAAGGCGCCTATATACATATAGAACTCGAGATGTGGGCTATAGAAACAATAATATGTAGAATAGATTTGAGATATAGGCAACTAATACATAATATATATGAAAATGCAACTATTATAGATGAAAATACATTTCCCATGCCCATTAAGAGAGGAATTAAACCAGGCGACATAATATCTCCAAAGCTTTTTAATCTATCCCTAGAAGGCGTCTTCAAAACTGCAAATTGGTCAACATATGACGTCAATGTTAATGGCAATTAACTATTAATAAACTATCCACAACAGAAAGGCAATGGAAAGATGAATGTTAGGTATACGAGTGTCAGATAAAAAAAGGAACGACTGGGTAAGATCAAAAGCAAAATTTGAGGATATCAAAACAAAAATTGCCAAACTCAAATGGTCATACTTCTTCTTCTTTTGGCATCATAACCCTGGATAGGTCTTTGCCTATCTGGCTATGTCCTTTCATTCAGATCATCTTGGACCCTTCTCCTCCATTGTCTTTTATTCATGGTTTTCAGGTAGTCTTCCACATCATCCAACCATCTTGTCCTGAGCCTTCCTACCGGCTTCCACAGTAACATCTTCTTTGTCGATTTTGTGTCTTCTTGTTGCTGAACATGTCCCAGCCATGACAGTCTTTGACTTTTCACAAATCTTACAATGTCATACCCTTCATTCAGTTCTCCTGATTCTCCATGTGCCGTCTTCCTCTTGCACCGGGCCATATACTTTTCTCAGTATCTTTCTCTCGAATGTCCTGAGTTAGGCTTCCTCTTTTTTCGTCATTACCTAGGTTTCACAACCATAGGTTACTAGGGTCTAATCAAAGTTCTGTAGATAGTCATTTTGGTTCTTTTGTCTAATAATTTCGATGTCATCAATCTTTTATCAGCTATAAGTATAAGACCAACTGCCCATTCCTCCGACATTTGCTCCTTGGTCCATACCAACTTTATCAGGTAATGGATTCTTCCCCAGAGTTCAAGTCCTCCATATTTCAACAATTCGATGCCAGTTTTTTATTAAGATTGAATGTATGACTAGTTCAATTGAAATTAAGTCTGATATGGATCAATAAGATATCTACAGTCCCACTACTTAACGTTTTTTACAAGATTTTGAGTTTATGGTTGAAATAATAGACAATGAACATTAATAATGTACATATCCGTCCAATCTTCAGTCATTTTGTAGTGAACTCATGTTGCAAAGAATATCTTTATTAATTAGATCTCGTGAAAAACGATACCGCTATGTCAAAAAGAAAACTTTAATCGCTTTTTACCGTTATCTAACAGACCAAAATAAAAATAAATGTTCACAATGCGAAATTGTACATTTTTTACATACACAAAATTTATTTGTTTTAAATATAGGTACCTGAAAATATAAGTGGTTCAGTATTTATGCGTTGGGTAATCGAACTTCGTCAAATATGGGACCATGGTCATAATTGATAATACCATATAAAATTTATGACAAATGATAAAATGCAATTATTACATTTTTTAAAAAGAACCATTTTAAAAGTTCTATGTCATTAAACTCAATTTTTATAGCTTTTCCTCGAAATCCGTTGCACGGCACCAATCTAACCTTATCGCTTTCGCACAGTGTTGCCGTATTGTCGGAATAGTAGACAATGTAGAGAATTAAGAAATAAAAGTTCTTCAAAGAGTCAAATCTTTTATTTCTTGCGGTATATTCTTCAATCTTTCCGTGTGCATTTCTACTTCCTCTACTGTAGTGCTTGTTGGATGATGTTTTCTAACTCTAGGACTCTGTCTTCTATTTCTCGTGGGTTGTCTATCACTGGAACTATGTTAATTCCAGTTCTCACGAGTCTTTTAAAGTTTGTCCACTTTGTTTTCTTTTGATTGTACTTTCTTCTTTCCACGTTCCTAGTTCTAATAGGATGGGGTTGTGGGGTCCGTTGTGCCTTCGTTTAATGTTTGTATTTCTGTTTGTAGTCCTAGGTTTCTTGCTACTACAATGTCTATGTGTGTAGGAAGTCCGTTTTCTGGGTAATGCGTTGGGTCTGTGGGGCTCATTGCCATAACGTCGTCGTTATTTTCTATGTATATGTTTAGTAGTCTTCCATTTCTGTTCGTAGCTCTGTCGTTTCAGTTTTGGGGATCTTGCGTTTAGGTCTCCTAATATGATTGAGGGTTCGTCGTTTAGGAACGTATTTAAGTCGTCTTCGATCATTAGATCTTGTGGTCTTACGTAGGCGGAGGTAATTCTGACTTCTCCTTGCCTCATTTGTATTCTTACTGTTATTGCTTGCACATTATTTGACCAGTTCGTCAAGTATATTCTGGTTGGTCCTTATGCCTCCTGGGTTCCAGAAGCCTATCCTCAAGTATCCCCTATTTGCTTGCGCTAGTTCAGTGCTCTCTAAAACTAAATAGTAAGTAACAGTTCCTAAAAAGGATCTGAGACTGTTTTTTCGTGGCATAATATATTTAACAGTTTCTATCTGCCATTTGTGCTCTGTTGGCGTATTGGGTGTTCGATTCTATGTGCAACGGACTTGAGAGGATATACTGTATACATGAAGCAAGTAGGTGTTTGTTATATTAATCCAGAAATTTAACTTTTATAATTTAGATTTTACGCCGTAGTTAGTTTCTGGATTTATGATTTTTTTTGCGAAATTAACTAAGTAGTATGTTTGCCATTGCATCTAAATATTGAACGACTTATAATAAGTTTAAAAAGTATTATATATTGATGTAAAGCCTTAATTTATGTATGAATCTTATATCTCATCCATTGCATTTTTAAGGGTGTTTATGTAAAAGAAATAATGTAACACTGCCATAACTTTTATTAAAAAATGAAGTTTTGATATATGTTTTAACATTTTATTCTATATTTGTAATTCCTTGGTAAAGTCCATTGGTACTGGTACACAAAGTGGTAAAATACTTTTGATCCAATTGTTGATATTAATTTAACTTTTTCGATTTTAAATATACTTTTACTAACCTAGTTAACCAGAAACCGAAACTTTCTTCTCAATATATTCTTTATAAGAAGATGGGGATCTTCTTCTTAGGGTGCCTGTCCTTTCCGAACGTTGGCGATCATTCTGGCTATGATGATTTTGTTGGTTGCTATACGAAATAGCTGTGTTGAGGTCTTTCTATACCATGCTATCAGGTCAGCAAGCCAGGATATTCTTCTTCGTCCCGGGGCTCTTTTTCCTTCAAGGAAGATGGGGATGGATACATTTAAAGTCAATAACTTTTTAATTAAGTTGATCATATATTATACACTGCGCGCCAAAATTAACGCATAATTTTAAAATTCTTATTTTGAGTTGTAATGAAAAACATTTTGTTTGTTCTTTTCTGCTTTATGGTTGTTTTAGAACATCTTAAATAAAAAACTTTTCTTTTTTTTTACAAAAAATGTATTGAAGTTAACAATATAACATCATAAATCTAAACAAACAACTGATCTAAACAAACTACTTATTAATTAATGACGAAATTGAAATTTTTAAAGTTGAAGAAAATACTAGTACCATGTATTAGTATCGAGTCTTGCCTCCCCTGGCATGTATTACTGCTTGACAACGATCTCTCATACTGAGAATAATCGTTCTGATTTCTTCTTGATCAATTTGATCCCAAATTTCAACCAACCGCAAAAACAGTTCATCTAATGTGTTTTGGTGCATTAGGTAGTTGTCGTAGCGTCTGCCTATGATGTCCCAAACTTGTTTCTATTGGGTTGAGGTCAGGACTTCTCGCAGGCCAATCCATGGCAGGAATTCCAACTTTATTTTGGTTTGTATATAAGGTTTGTTACCAAACAGGTAACAAACCTTTGTCTCAGTTTACGAAGTGTCAAAAACCGGTCTTGATTAGTTGTTGTAACCCTTCTACGGCCTTGATCGGGTCTTCTCGAGTTACTTCCAGTAACAGAAAATCGTATTAACACTCTTGAAATGGTCGAGTGGGTGATGTTAAAATGTTCAGCGAGTTCTACTTGAGTGTATTCTTCTTCGCGAAGAGTAACGATTCTAAAACAGTCGCTTTCTAACAAATTTCGATTTTCTTGCTGCTGGTGGTTCATTTCAAAGAAAAAACACTTAATAAACTTAATAAACCCCTTTAAACGTTCAGCACAACGTAATCCAACCCAACTAAATTCGAAATAAAATGAAGCACAATTAGCATGTTTTTAATTTTTTTGCAAAAAATGGCAAAAATATCAACGTTTTTTACCGTTCTTTCAATAAATTTTATAATATACCATGGGTAACAATAATATATTAGCACAAAAATCAAAACATTAAAATTTTTTGATTTGCCAGGGTTTTTAAAATTATCCGTTAATTTTGAGGTGCAGTGTATATTATTTGTTTTATTTTCTTAAATTTTTTTGAGAAAACTTTCTTGGAAATGGTTTCATATAACATTAATTATTGTTAAAAGTTCTTTATTTTGGTTGACGTTTCGGCAGGTACCCCATGCCTTTTTCAAAACATTATCTAAAATAGATCAATGGTTTTTGTCATAGTATTTTTACAAAAAAAAAAATTAAATAAAAACTTCCCATAATGAATTCATGAATGAATTAATCGATCATTTGATTTTATTTATGAATTCGTCATCTAATCTACTCACTATAATCGTTTTAAAACTATTTTATCATTTACAATAGTCTTTTCCTGTTCTATGTGAGAAATGTTTACATATCAACTCATAATTGAAAAAATTAAAAATGTGATTTTTGCTGCCATATTTCGAAATGTTTATAAATGAAAACTTCATTTTTGCTATCACTATACTGTTTATTAATTAAACATGTGATTGTAGTCTTGCCTTATAGACACTCTTAAAACTGCCATCCATGTAATTTTTATATTAAAATAAATAACAATTTGCCAAAAACTGTAAACTGCTAATACATTCCAAAGTTAACCAAATGTGTAGTATATTTGTACAGAGTTGGTCCAAAAATCATAACTCCAGTATACCTGTTAATATAATGTACATGAATTTTTAATAAACAATTAGTCTTAAATGTTGTACATATTTTTTAGATATTTTACCTTAAAATTGCTCAGCTGCCTTCATTGACATATTTAGGACATTCGATAAGGTTCGTCATATAGGACTGAAAATAAAGCTAAAGCAGCTTCTACCCTATCCTCATTCCCAGTTCTTAACCCTCTAATGCACCGCCTTGAGGCGATTTTAATCAAAGTCATATTAATATGAACGAGCGAAA